ACTGGCAGTTGACATCTCACTTCAAACTACCATCACCCCATTGAATGCCACATTCGACCCCTTCGACAGTACTCATCTTACCTTTTCTCTGCCTTTTTGTCTGTCTGTCTGTCGCTGTTACACCTGTGAATCATTATTCTGTCCCATCTCTCGACTTTTTTCACTTTGATGTTCCTCCTCCCCTCTGTGAATCCCAAAGTAAGCTAAATGGCTAATGATAACTATCAAAACGCCTGCCATTTGAAATAAATAAATGTTTACCAGAATGCTTCCTGCTAATATTTGTTTCCTGACGTCACACATTATGTAACCTAATCAAAATATTTGTTTTAATTTGATATTTTTTCAGCAAGAGCCTCCCACGCAGTATGCCAAAACGTACTAATTTCGCCATGTAGTACTGTTAGCATTACTGTTAACTAAAACGAATATCATAGAAAACGATTGGTAGTTGGTCTTTCATGCTCGCTCATCAAGTACATTTATAAATTAGTCTATACAAATCATTTATTTATTTATTTATATCAAATGGCAGGCACTTTGATAGTTTCATTGCCCCTTTAGGTGACTTCAGGTCCCACAGAGAAGAAATAGCTAAGTGGAAAAAAAGTCGAGAGGGGGGGGGGGAACAGAAGAGTGTTTCAATGATGTAAAAGAGACACACAAAGGTAAAAAAAGGTGAGATGAGTACTGTGAAAGTAGTCGATTATGACATACAGTGGGGTGAGGGTAGTTTGAAATCAGAAGTCAACTGCCGAGTAATAGACTTTTTTGCCCTATGAATATACGTTGCCCAGGGTGCACCACGTGGAGATAAGTTTATCGCACACCCCCAATACAAATCATTAGGGTAGGGAAGGAGACTGTTTTTCCTTTTTTAAAATGAGTTTTGATAAATAAAAGGTTTGAGTATTAGAAATATTATTTAATTGTGTCAAATATTGGTTAGAAATCTACGTGTATGTCAGAAAAGTCTGTGATAATTATGTCGATACAAGTGAGCAAGCAATCAATGACCTTGACAAACGATACCCCATTCTAAGGCGTATAATATAATGAAAATTTCTCAGTAGTGATCCTTCGGGATGCTTTTCCGCTAAGTTTTATTGTTTTGGAATTAAAATCTATTTATTTACTTAAAGAAATTACCGAATTCATTAAATTCATCAAAAAAATTCAACATAAATAAACTTCAAGCAGTGTACTGACAACTGAGTAACGCCTTCCACTCGCATTGCGAATTTTCCCTGTTTTAAGTTGGCCCTGGACGATTAATATTGCCTCTAAAGCATCTTAAGTTCGGGTCACGTCAAAATTTGCGCGCGACCTTGTGGCTCATGCGATTAGCCGCATGTAATGCGCCGATTTTGTCCAGCAGACACCTCATGTTTACGCAAATTTTGTTGTGTCTGTATGCTTAGTCATTAAAAATGCAAAGTAATGCTCAAACTTCAGTTAGTGGTAAACTTATAGGACTCCTGCTAACAATCCCAAAATATTAGCAAGTTGACGGGAGAGGAAAAATGAGAAGACAAACTTGAAAACCCTTTCCTTTTTTCATTCGTTTAACGACTTTGAGTAGGTACAAGTTTAAAACTGTCCATTCTTTGGAGTAAGAACTTTATTGGCGCTCTGGAAGATGTAATGAACTTAGTTCCGAGGATATGCTAAATATTTTTAATCATCGAAGGTAATTACAATTTCATTTACTCATACTATTCATATGGAAGTGCACAGTCAAGCTTATAATAAATTTCGAACATTATTATTAACAAACTGATTGTTGATTTCAATAGCAAAAATGTTTGAATCATTCAAAATCGAACCATTTTTAGTCATCATTGGTGAAATAATGTATATTTTGAATAACTGATCAAGCTAGCTGGCATGGATTCAATTATTCTCCAGGAACTGAATGAAACATAGTGAGGTAACTGACCAATAGTAATAAATCATTAACGAGATGACTTCTAATTGAATGTTTATTTTAACGGTTTCTAACCTCAAAAAAACTGTTTAAAAGAAATGAAAAATTCTTATTTTAGTAACTACAGGAAGATTTGATAATTGCTCATAAAAAATATTCAGTATTTTGAGTATTTTAATAAACCTACACCAAGCACAATTTTAAAAGCCTATCAAAGAGATTTCTCTTTTATTCAGCTTTTCCGTCGTATTTCACTCATTTCTTCCGAGTTCCTTGTACAGCAGATCGTGCCTAGACTATAGGATTAGTGTTTCAAGTCCAAACTTCACTGCTATAGAATCATAGAAGTTATAAGTCGGCAACTTAATTTAAATATGCCCTTTCTTCATTCATTTATGTCAGATCAATTATGGCCATAGAAATGTCAGTTTAATTACGTGTCTCGTTTGTCAATTCTCATGCATAAGGTGTGTGATCCTATTTATACCCCGCGTGAATATTCAGTACCGATATACAATTTAATAAATTGACCAATTTGTCTTTTGTTTGCTTGATGTGTACCGATGACATGGCAGTTAGTGTTCTTGCCAGCCAACGCAGATGATGTAGGTTTGGTGACCACCAATGAACACCACCATTTAATTGGAAGACAAACCACACAAGTCAAGGTACCCATTAAAGGAATATTTAAATGCATTTTATACAGTTGGATCTAAATCACATTGAGATTTATGGACTGTACTATTTAATAATAATATTCCATTCAACATTCAAAAGGTTTCAAATGGAGACCCATTCAATTTGCCCATCCTAAAACCACAACGTGACAACTCAATTTTTCATCCCTAATGTAATGCTTATCAGAACAATACAATTTAATAAAAGCGGCTAACAAAAGGTTTTCGTACAGATGGAAGGCATTAGGGTAACCTGAGCTTTCTTTAAAATTGATAAACTGGTAAAATGACACATTGCATAAATATGAAGCTCTTTGAACGGAAGGGTTTTAAATTGGATAAGTTCCAAACACCCCAAGGCGAGATTTCTTTTTATGACTCATTCGCTTTTGAAGCGTGAAAACTTTAAGTCTTGAACGCAAGAAATAATTTTTGAAAAATATACCAAACCGCGCTCACGCATATCTCACAGCAGACTGGTATAGCCGACGTGATGAGTTTTGGTGAAATCAGGCAAAGGCTATAGACGCAATAGTGCCTTCTGTTACGAATCTAGTGTCAATGAAGCTTATTTTAAATGAGGACAGTTTAGTTTTAAGGGGGTTAAGGAGTTAATAATCTAATACGCTGTGATATAACGTAGATGGGTAGATTAGAATTGTGTATTGCATCCCATTTCTGCATTCCGTGAAATTTTTTATCCAAAATATCCGTTTTTCAGTAGGATAACTTTGAGATTATTTAAAATTCAATTTATTGGAGTTTAACTTAGGGCTTTGCCTTTTCGAGCAGATATTAGGATATTAACTGAACAGTGTAATGCATATTCCTTGATGTACTTCTGATTTAGGGAGAACATAACGAGATTTTAAATTTGGACGATTATAATATTAACAGATTTGTTCAATGCTTATGCTAGGTCTTTGTACATATAGAGGAGTTTATTAAATTCAAGTTGAAGTCATCATTAAATTCAAACTAACATAGTTATCGCTCTAATAACTTTTCTTATCACTCTAAAAGGGTGTGAGATAAACGAGCTGGTTTAAATTAAAATTGCATTTACGCTGTCATCTCCTTATCAACATATCAAAGTGTAGGGTGTGCGATAGATTTACCTCCACGTGGTGCACCCTGGGCAACGTATGCTCATACGGCGAAAAAGTCTATTAACCGGCAGTTGACTTCTGACTACAAACTACCATCACCCCACAGTATGACATATTCGACCACTTCCACGGTACTACATCACATTTTCTTTTTCTAAATTTTCAACCGTCGTCTTTGAAACACTTTTCAATTCCCTTCCTCTCAACTTTTTTTTCACTCTGAAGTTCCTTCCCCTCTGTAAAGCCTGAAGTCAACTAAAGGGCTAATGATAACCATCAAAACGCTTGCCATTTGATATAAATAAATACATACCAAAGTGTTTAGATTTCAAACATATTTTGCAACATAAAACAGCAGAGGGTAAAAAGTATTTTTTGAGTTGGTGGGTTGTGATAATTGAAGTAATAATTCTAAAAATATCTTACACAAATAAGAAATACAAAATTCGAGGTTATTTTGAATACTTAAACTAGTGTTATCAACATTTAATTTTATTCGTACATGAAACGCACAAGTGCAGAACTTGAACAAATTAATGAATAATTAGGTTTATTGAATTTACTGCGAAAAAATCGATAATCAACGCTAACTTGGTCAGCATAAACGCGCGTCATAAGTGCATTTTGATTTTTTTATTCATTGTAATCTAACGATTCCTGGAAAGAACTTACTCTGCTCTTTTTAATGCTCGTATTTCGCTTCCACTGAAATAAACGCAATAAATAGCCTTAAAATGTGTTATTGTATATGTAAATAGGAAGTAAGTGGACAATTAATCTGTTTAATTACAAATAAATAATCCATTGGGTAGGTAGCAGTTTCAAAATCAAAAGCTTTCATTGGTCTATAGGCAAATTGCTAGGAAGGTTAGCACAATGGGCACGAGCTAAAATAAAATTAGACATTTTCCCATCAAAAGTTGTAGCTTAGGCTGAATCCTTTAAGACCAGAAATACTTACCTGTAGGACTATGGCACATATCCAAACATAGATAATAATCTTCATATTTTTATAGGTGAATTCGACTATTTTACTTTCGCAGCCTTCAACTTGATCTTTTCCTGCTTGAGTTTCAGTACAACTGCCTTGTCCGCTTTTACAGCAAGCGTTAGGTAAGTTTGAACCCTTGCCTGAAAGAAAAGGTTTAGAATGTTATGCAGGAAGTTTTGGGAGGGAATAGAATAAACAAGATCCTACCAAAATCGCTGTAGCCTTGCATTCCACAGCACAGAGAGTTTTGATCGAACTATATAAAGTGAATGGTCTCAGTTAGTTATTAGAGAATCAGCATAAAATAGATACTGAAAAATTGCATACATTCATAGTAAGATCCCATATAGCAGTAGATACTTTGCCTTTTTCATCGTTCTCACCATAGAAAGCCAAAGAAGAATTCATTGCTTTGACGATAAAACTGGAGATATGATTACGATCTGTGAGGAAATATATTATCACAGCAACCTGTGCGACTACAAGAAGTATCAAGATTATGGCATACTGTAGAAGAAGGAAGGAGATGATTAACAAAAATTAGCAGATTAAAAGTCAACTAATATCATTTGGAAGTTTACTCACTATCTTTAGTAGTATATTACAACCACAACAAGAGGCGATGCATCCGATAAGACAAATTGCAGCTAGTGCTAACCCAACAACGATTAGTACAATACTGACGGCATCTGAACATAAAGAGCATTAACCATAAGACAGAATAAATAAAATATAAATAAAGTAGCTTATTATTAACCTGCGTTTTTAATAAAAAACTCTGCAATTCTGGCTGCTTGATCATCATCAAGACGATCCTTTATTATTCTTTTTACTATTGACTCGACAACTGATTTCGAAGCTTTCAACAGGATACCGAATATGGCGACTGCAAGGAAGGCAAACTAAAATGAATTTTCTAAATTCACTCATCGATTTCTGTGAGATATGCCAAAGTTAATAAGAGAACATACGAAAAGAATGGTGTTGGCGATTTGCAGGACGAGCTTAATTCCACAAGAAATAACGCAGCCCATCTTGTTTTAGGGAATATTTCAAACAGAAAATATTTTTAGAGTTATCTTGACTGTCAATATAAATACAATAAGCCAGTAATATTCTCTAATGCCAAAAAGCCAATTAGAAATGGCTTCTAAGTAATTGCTCGCAATGGATTGGTCAGCCTTCTTTGCTAAATGACACCAATAAGATTGCTGAACATATCTGACGCAATTTTAGGCTAGCCATAGTTAACTAACCGATTAATAATTAAGCAGAAAATCTCTTAATATACTAAAAGTAGGAATTCAAAGTTGTTATCAAAATTAATTAACTAATAAAACTAAAAAATTTTAATTAGAAAAAAATATGATGAAAATATACTCTGTTCATTCAACAAACCGATAGAATTTTAATTGTAATTAGTGTGGAAAATATAGCCAAAAATATTTGCAAACATTACCATTTCAATACTATAGCCGATTACTACACTAATTAGCTTTGACTTATACTCAATAACTCTCTATGGCATGTTTTTTTTACTTCCGAATGGCTCCCGGTATTGGCCAAGCCTTTGCTATGGAGGAAACAGACGTATGACCTGGAATATGTTTTATTAGCGATGTTATAGTGGAGTGAATATCGACCGTGTTCTGTCTTTATTGTTTCAAGTTTCGGGCTGCCCATTGAGAGCATACTTTGGCTTGTGTATTATTTTAGTATCGATTGACAGGGTTTGATAAGTACGTAATCGCTTTAGTTATCGATTGGTCGAGAAGCCTCCGAAATTACGATCTCAATTGCCATGATAGAGTTGTGTATCCCAAAATACAATCCAATTAAATTTTTTATATGTTGAACAAAGAATAATGTGGATTTTATAGATTAAGGGAAGCCGCGTACAACAGGTTTATTAAATTAATCAATCAGGTGATAAATAAAAAACTTCAAACGCATCGAGTCGAAAAGATTGAATAGTTTGTTCATTGCCGAAGATACTGTTCATATATTTGGAGCCATTACATACAGGTTCGGACAGACTTTTGCCAATTTAAAATTTGTATATTTTGGTCAAATTAATATTTATTTTAAACAGAAATGTTATACTCTCAGATCATTCTATGATGCGGCCATATTTTGTGAAAATTTATTAGAGTAGAGTATTTAATTTCAAAATCTGAAATGGTATGACAACGAGCATAAGTGTGGAAGAAAAGAGAGAGAAAAGGGTACTGTCTCCTGTGATCTTAAATTCATCGATTCGTTCTGAATGTATGTAAACCCATTCTGTCATAGATTTTATTACAAGAAGCATTGAGGTACAACTATTTGTCGTTTTGACTATTTGTGTTTTACTAATTGTGGTTGTTAATAGAGAATTGTGATTAATGACGTCAGAATGTGCTCTCCACACGTGGGGACAGATGTGCATGTCAGTTGCCATTGCAGAGATGTGATGTGGGCGTTAGCCGAGCAAAGGGTGTCCGAAAAATCCCCTGAGAAGTCTATCAGCTTTCCAACTGATTTCAACGACCAATCATTTTCATTTAGACTTTATCTTTACCATCAAAGTAGGAGTTGAATCAGTGATAAGGTTAAAAAGATACCAGTAACGAAATGCTTAGTCATTAATTTATCAAAAATTAAATTGAATCATCATGTTAATAAACGATCTTGTATGTGCATTTTCACATAAATTCAATTTATTTTATTACATGGTCATAAAATTCCATTTAATCTTTACCTTTAATATTATTTAATTAAAACAACATACTTCAGGTTGTCTATAATTATTTCCTTGTTTCATTTAACAATTATAATTCCATTTGATACCCAAATAAATAAAAAGCACGTTTTTGAAGTCTAAGTTTTGGGCGGATTGCAAAATATTCTTATATGGAAAGGTTCCCGGAATCTGTTATACGATAAAGGAAACAGTTGTACAACGAGTTTAGTGTTTATTGAACTTACGTTCACAAATAAGGGGTGTGCGATAGATTTACTACCAACGTACACCAATGCGGCGAAAAGTCTATTGATTGAAAGTTGACTTCTCACTTCAAACTACCATCACCCCATAGTAAGTCCTATCCGACCTCTTCCCCAGTACTCACCTTACCTTTTCTCTGCTCTGTGTCTGTCTGTCTCCTTTACATCTATGAATCACTCTTCTGTTCCCCCTTTCGACTATATGTGACGTTGCTGTTCCTCCCCTCTATGGAGCCCGAAGTCAACTAAGTGGCTAATGATAATCAACAAAACGCATGCCATTCAAAATAAATAAATAAATGTTAGCAAATAACATGTTAAGTGATTGAATTAACATAATTTAACTCGACTGGGCATTAAAAGCTAATTACCTGAGAGGTCCACGCGTACACCACCACACCCTCCAGAACGCTCGAGTCCGCATGAAATCTTTTCAACTATGATAGCAATATGTACTCCATTGGTCTCAAATTATTAATTACTATTCAATGACGCACGTGCGTCAAACAGGCACACATCAAAATAATAATTATGTCAGTGCCTTTCTTTTTTTGCCTTTATGTATAACTAGTGAGAAAAGTTCCTCAAGCCTCTTAGAACGTAGGTATCAAAAATGAACTTGAAGTTTTGCTTTTTAGTTATCTAAGTACTTGGAATGTATGATGTAGTTAGCCCACCACTGCAACCTCGTCAAAACGTTGTGATCAGCTTCAGCAATCACCTTTAAGTAGTTCCATAATGATGACTGTCATCAAACCTGCCATTTGATATAATTTATACTTTCTTTAAGGGGTGTGTGATAGACTTACCTCCAAGTGGTGCACCCTGGGCAGCGTATACTCATGCGGCAAAAACAGTCTATTAACCGGCAGTTGACTTCTGACTTCAAACTACCATCACCCCACTGTATGTCATGATCGACCCCCTCGACAGTACTCACCTTACCTTTTTCTCTACCTTTGTGTCTGTCTGCCTCTTTTACATCTGTGAATCGCTCTTCTGTTCCCCACCCCTCGACTTTCTGCTACTTTGATGAACCTTCCCTCTGTGAAGCCCGAAGTCAGCTAAATGGCTAATGATATCTATCCAAACGCCTGCCATTTGAAATAAATAAATACTTCCTTTATTAGTTCCGAATGCTAAATATCGTATCTGAGGTATTTG